CACCTACCATGGCCTGGGAGACTTAAATAATGGAACTTTATTTTCTCCCAATTCTGGAAGCTGGAAGTCCCAGATCAAGGTGTCAGCAAGATTGTTTCTAAGGAGACGTTTCTCCCTGGCACACGGGTGGCCTGCATCCTTGCCTTCCTTCTGCGCTTGTCTGTGTGCAGGCTCCTCTTCTTATAAAGATGTCAGTCAGATTAGATTAGGGCCCACCTAGTGACCTTATTTTAACTTAATTATTCTTAAAAGACACAGTCTCCAAATACTGCCACGTTCTGAAGTGCTGGAGTCTAGGACTTCAAGAGGCGAGTTTCGGAGCATGTGTCTCACAGCGACGTCCAGGTTCCTGTCCTGGCTCTCCCACTGACGAAGTGGGCCATGTGCTTACACTGAGCAAGTTACTCTCTGGGCCTCAGGCTTATTAGCTATAAAAATGATGTTGTTGGATTATGTCATCTTTGTGGTCTAAAAGTCTATGATCACTATCATCAATACAAGTCTGAATTTTGCAAGACCAGGAGCAGCATGATTTCCAAACCAGCCACAAAGGACAATTGTCTCTGCATGGAAATTGGCATGTGTGTGTTCATAAAAACAACTTTCATCAACTTAAGATCACCTTGCAAATCCACACACAGTCAGTGCTTTACAGATAATATCAGAACAAAGCACATTAAAAATGTATTTCTTAAAATTAGCTGGGCATGGTGGCGCATGCCTGTAGTCTCAGGTACTCGGGAGGCTGAGGCAGGAGGATTGCTTGAGCCCAGGAGTTTGAAGTTGCTGTGAACTAAGTTGACGCCACGGCACTAACTCTAGCCTGGGCAACAAAGCAAGACTCTGTCTCAAAAAAAAAAGTACTTCTTTTAAGTAAATTGGTAATTTTCCCTTTATTCCATCTTAGAAGGAAAATTGCAAGTAGTCAGTCTCTTGGCAGTTCCTAGTCAAAAATCTCTTTGTGAGTCCTGATCCATGTTGTGATATCTCCCTGCATGGACTGTCGTCAAGGCTCAACTCAAATGTCACCTCCTCCATAAAACCTTCCTGACCTCCCCAGAGAGAGTTCTCTGTGCTTCAGAGAAGCACTTTGCCTACTATAGCACATGGTATGCTTTTCTGTACTAATCAGTAGTACAGGATAGCAATATTAACTGGCCAGGATTCTGCAATTGTTCTTCCTAAATCCCCCAAAATTTCTTCACTTAGCAGGACTCTGCCAGCCACAATACTGATACACATGCATCCAACCCAGACCTGGCCTCAGTAATGAAGAACCACCAATGATCACTCAGGGCTGCATGCTTCCTCTCTGTCTCAGAGGCTGGCTTGGTATTATTTCAGAATGTGTCAAGGAGATTTCTTTAAAGGCAGGACAGTGCTCACAAATGCCCTTCTCTAAGAACACCGGTAAGTATAACAATGGGCCCAGCATATATTAATTACCAGGGGATCAAATTAAAAACACAAAGGCCTCATGCCATCCTCTCCTCCCCGGGTGTCCGACCTAAAGAACAGCCCAGATGTAGAGCAAACCCAGACACACACCAGGCTTCTCAACCCTCACCTCGTCCTTCTCCCGTGAGCATCCTCCACGCCAGTGCTCCCACCTGAGCAGGAAGATGTGTCAGGAGTGGGCCCTACATCCGGCTCTGCGCGTCGTCGCACTTCTCACGGAAGAGGCAGAGCAGCGACTCCGTTGAGGTGTGCAGGTTTGTGATAATTAGGAAAGGCCACGCTGCAGAAACGGGGGACTGGCCCAGAATTACCCCAACGCCAGAAGCCCAAGAACTGGCAGCAGAACATTCTCTAATGGATGAGCTGCTGGCCAGCAACTGTGTGACTGCAAGCAAACTGGTAACTTCTCTGGTTCCTTCATCTGCATAACATAAGGGTTGAACTCCATGACCTCCAAGACGTCTCTGGCAGCCAGGGCAGCCTGTCCTACTAACCCATCCCAGGCAGGCTTTCCTGAAGAGAAATTTTCAAGAGAAAGGAGAGGAAAAGGTTAGGTAGGGAACCACAGCCGACTGCCTTCTCTTGATGAAAAAGACCAAGTTCACAGCAAATTATTCTACCAGCTGACTTGGAAAAGAAACATCGATGTGAAAATACATATTTATTTATTTATATTTCAGCTTTTACCTAGTGAACACTCTTGTCTGTTTCAATTAAATGAAAGACTGAGTTTGCCTAACTGCTGACTTTGCTTAATAGGCTGACACGGGAATAAAAGATATAACAGATATCTCTATAATATATCACTTTTATTCTGAATTTAATCATACATTTTGTATAAGTACAAATGTAAGACATTTTGAGGCTAAATTCATAGAACGGTAACATATTAAAATGAAATTAAAATGGAATCATTTTTTGACAGCTAACTTCAATAACTTGAGTCTTAGATTTAGTTCAGAAACTGCCGTTTCAAAGAATTTTTAAGCATTGGACTATGGGTCAGTTGAGGAAAACTGTGAGCCAGAAGCTCATCTCCTGCTCCCGCTGCCCCTTGCGAGGCGTGCTGTGCCTTTCCTCTTGGCAGCCAGGCCCTGACGCCCTCTCCCGGCACCCAGGCCCTCGTCTTGCCCCTCACCTGTAGGGGTTCCCTTCCTTGCCACCATTTCTCCACCTACTGTAATTCCCAAGCTAGCTTTGCTTTCCCCAAAACATCCAATTCCCCAGCTATTTCTCCATCCTACTTTCATCAAAACTATGCTGCCCTGTCCTCCATTTTCCAAGGGCTGCACTCCGGAGAATCCGAGGTCTGTTGCAGTGGCCCCGCAATGCAAGTCTCCTGCAGCGCACCTGCAGAAAGAGACGGCAGCAGCAAAGGAGGCCCACCCTGGGCGGACCGCCCTGAAGCGTGGAGGGCAGTTCCTGGAGCCCCCTTGAAAGGGTTATTATTGAACAGGAGTGGTTTCAGGGGAGGATACTCTGACGTGTGCTCACTGATATGAACAAATGCTGAAAGACAGTCATTAGGGTACTGAGCACTAAGAACTTGGGGGGTGGCGTGGGGGCTGGGGGTGTTCACTGGCTCATGCTTGTAATCCTAGCCCTCTGAGAAGCTGAGACAGGAGGATTGCTTGAGGCCAGGAGTTCTAGACCAGCTTGAAGGAGAGCGAGACCCCATCTCTACAAAATATAGAAAAGATAGCCGGGCATGGTGGCACGCCCCATAGTCCCAGCTACTGAGGAAGCTAAAGCAGGAGAGTCACTTGAGCCAAGGAGTGTGAGATTGCAGTGGGCTATGGTGATACCAGTGAACTCTACCAGGGCTACAAAGCCAGACTTTGTTTCCAAAAAAAGAACTTTAGGGGAATGAGAGAAATGGAAAGAAATCTTGACCAAAGGGTATAAAGTTCTAGTTAGACAGGAGGAATAGGTTTTCAAGATCTGCACAGCAAAGTAACCACAGTTAATAATGCATTATATATTTCAAAATTGCTACAAGAATAGATTTTAAATGGTTCCACTACAAAAAATGGTAAGTATGTGAGGTGATGGATATGTTCTTTAGCTTGATATGATCTTTCCACAATGTATACATATATCAAACCATCATTGTACCCCATCAATATATAATATTATTATTGCCAGTTAAAAATAAAAATGTAAATTTCAAAAAAGAAAACTTGTCATCTAAGAAAAAATTCCAGGAATTAGAAATGTTTAAAATGGAAGAGACTTAGGAAAACAAATATCACACAAGAAGACATAGTTGATTTGTTGTTTTGTCCTCAGAGGGTGAAATATGAAGAATATTAAAAAGTTACAGAAAGGCAGATTTCAAATCCCTGTAAGGAAAATCTCCTGAAAGGTAGAAGTGTCTATTAATGGAACGAGCTAGTCTGTAAGTCAAAAGCTTGCATTTTGGCCGGGCGTGGTGGCTCACGCCTGTAATCCTAGCACTCTGGGAGGCCGAGGCAGGCGGATTGCTCAAGGTCAGGAGTTCGAAACCAGTCTGAGCGAGACCCCGTCTCTACCAAAAATAAATAAATTAATTGACCAACTAAAAATACATATGCAAAAAATTAGCCGGGCATGGTGGTGCATGCCTGTAGTCCCAGCTACTCGGGAGGCTGAGGCAGTAGGATCGCTGAGCCCCGGAGATTGAGGGTGCTGTGAGCCAGGCTGACGCCATGGCACTCACTCTAGCCTGAGCAACAAAGTGAGACTCTGTTCAAAAAAAAAAAAAAAAAAGCTTGCATTTTGCTGAAGATGGTCAAGTAGAGGCTAACCAGTCATCTGGAGGAATTATTTTTAAAGAGAGAAATTTGTCCAATAATCATTTCTTGGGCACTTTCCATGGCCAAGTACTGGGCTAGGTTCTGGGGAGGTGAAGCTGAGTAAGTTATGGTCCTAGCTGGATGAAAAAGACATCAGCAGATAACCATGTACAGTAGCTCATGTGTCACTGGCCTCGGCAGCATATGACAACAAAATAAGACTAAACTTACTCCTTATATACTAAAAATTTTCAGCACCAACCCCACCTGGCTACATGCCAGAAATGAGCCTCCTTTAAAGGGTGTCTACAGTGATTTCTCAGTCTCCTAGGGCAAAGCCTTCTTATCTGGCCAAGAAGGGAAGGGAGGGTGGTGCTCAGGACAGAAAACCATGGCAACCCATCATTACAAAGTGACCTACAGAGCTACAGTCGCAGCTGGAGGGAAAGGCTGTTTGGGAACTTGTGGAGCCTGCTTGGTAGGTGAGGCTGGTTGGGAGACTTTGAGTGGGGCAGAACAGGTCCAAAACGTAGGGACTAAATAGATAGTTTTGACGCAGAACTGGGCACGGCATCCAAATCCCAACCCTAAGAGACCTGGTTTCCCCTAGAGAACTGGGCCAAGAATGTCGCAGTGCTGGGGGAAGTCTGCAAGTGAGAAAGGCCCCTGTATGTGCTAAACTATGTGTTAAGCTGTTTGCAAGCCAAGTACTCATTGATTTCTCTGCGCAACCCCCAAATTCTCCCCTTTTTGTACCCTTGTTAACAGGCAACCAGCAGAAATGCACCGATAACCCCGTCTGCTCAGGAAGATCATGAGAGAAGAGGATGAGCCACATGTGAAGGTCCAAGTCTAATGAGGACCAAACCGACCGCAGCAGCACTGACCAGAGACCGCGTGGGAGCCTGCTGCTGTTTGAGGCCCTCGGGCTGTGCTGTCACGCTAGGTAGGACAGCTGACTTCCAGAGGAAGCCTCTGGAGGCCTTTTCTTTATGCGTGAACGTGACACGACGAGACTCGAGGCAATGGGACCAGCCTGTGCTGTCCAGTCCAGGTTGCTGACACTCGGTGGTTGGCAGAACCTGGTCACCTCTGGCCCGGTCTGCGCGGCTGGTGCTGGTGCTCACTCACCTCCACAGCCCAAACGGGAGCCTCAGAGCTGACTCCCCTGGCAGTCCCAGCCCTGTCTCCGGCCACGGCCACGGTGCCGAGCGAGCCGGGACAGAGGACAGAGGGATTCCTTCAGCAGAAGTGGGCTGAGGCTCAGCTAGCGATCCTTGGGGGGGTGGTATTTTACTGTTTGCAGCACCAACAGGATGCCACAAACTTCAAGCACAACAGAATAATAAACCTCACAGAAATGCTAAGAAATCCTTGAGGGGGGAAATAGCCTCAATTCATGAGACAAGGAAAACTTGTACTAATGTTATTACCCCAAAGAAACCACTTAGAGATGATTCCCTAACACAGAGATGAAAGTAAAACAGCATGAACTACGCTGAGCCCAAAAGACGTCCCTGGCGGTATTCTGCATTCCCGCCCAGAGGCCGTCTGCAGGGCGGGCAGACCCTGCTGGAGAAGGAAGTGGGAGGGAGGGAGGGTGAGAGAGGCCATGTTAGAACCAGGGGCGGCCCAGCTGAGGACTGGGAAATGTGCGTTCAACTTTAGACTGTCCTCCCTGCCCCGCGGCTCCAGCCCTCCAGAGAACTGAGGGAGGAAAATAGTCACATTGTTTGTCACTGTGTGTGTTCTTCTCTCTCAGGCTGTTTGTACAGTGTGCAGGTGTTACCTCAGGCAGTGTATTCCAAAGGGGGTTCCCCGAACACCGGTTCTTCCAGATGTAAATCTGAGATGTTAATCTCTGTTACTTACGGGAGGAGGTGCAGTGATGTTCTGTGATCAGACTATTTCAGAAACACTAGATTTAACGAAATTTTACGTTTCTTTACCACAGGGTTTCTAGGCTCCTTTAGCCTCCTAGCGTACACTGTGGCTTTCCAAAAAGGGAAATGTGTGGCATTTCCCAAATTTATGCATGGCTTTTAAATAGAGATGTTGCCCAGGCTTGCCTTGAACTCCTGGCTCTAGTGACCCTCCGATGTAGCTGGGACAATAGGCACGTACCACCGTGCCCAACCTATGCATTTCCCAAGTGTGGGTGAGAGGGTACTTCTCATGCAGTGCGCTCTGGACTTAGTGTCCCAGCAAGTGCTATCTTACGTCCTCATATCTCGTCTGTCATTCAGTCTTGAGGCCATTCTCAAATTTGTCTTTTCCTTCCATTACTGCCCTCCGTCTAGTCCCAGCCGCTGCCTCCTGCCTGGGCTGCCAGCTCAGGCCTTCAACCCGAACTCCGTTCTGCCCACTGCTGGCCCGCCTTTACCCGGCCTGGATCCTCTGCCTGCCCTACCCCAAACCAGAACGACCACTCTTGAGAGCCAGCTGCACGGCACTGTTCCGAGCACCCTCTTTCTATTAGTGCATTCAGTCTTCCCGATGGCTTCGTGAAGTAGGTGCACTCTTAAAATTTTACAAATAGGGAATGAGAGACAGGGAGATGTTTGGTAACTTGCCCAAGGCCACGCTGCTGATTAGCAGGTAGGAGCCCGGCCTCCGGCTGCAGAAGCAAGACTTGCGTGTAGGCACCGCCTGCGCCTCTGCAGACCCGCCCTCCGCGCCTTCCTGGCCTCCGCTCCCAGGCCGCGCTCCTGCAGCTTGGGCTGGATGCTTCTCGCAGGCCCGCTCCGCTGCAGGTGGGTTAGCCCGAGCCAGACAGGGCTCCAGCCAGTCCTGCTCAGGAGTCCAGACTTGGTCCTGAGGGCAGCTGGGAGCCATTGGCAGACGGGGGCAGGTGTGCGACAGGATTAGGGCTGTACTGTGGAAAGCTGTCTCTGGAAAGAGTGCAGACTCTATTGGCTTACGTTTGGCAAAATCGGAGGAGGGTAGAGAATAAGAATGAAGACTAACACAGTACCTGCGTGAGTAAATTCATTTAATTCTCACAAAAACTCTGTGAGGTCTGTGCACTGTTCTCATCACCCCCATTTTACAAATGAAGAGACTAAGGAACAGAGAGGCTAAGGAACTCGCCCAAAGTTACCGCTAGAAAGTGATTTGAGCTGAAGCTGTTTATTTCTAAAGTGACATTCTCTTAATATTTCCAAAGTGAGCATTACTGCCTCTCCTGAGTGGTCTTGTGCTACTCTCAAAACTTTTCTCTTTGCTCAGAGTACTTCATAATTGTTTTAAAATGGACCCGGAGTGGCAGATTAGGCGTGGCAAAGCTGTGAGAGGGCCGGTAGGTGAGCCCTGCGGGTGAACCCTGCATGTGAGCCCTTGTGGTCCTGAGGTCGGGCAGAGGCCAGGACGATGCAGACAAGTGAGCAGATTTGAGGATGGCCAAGAGGGAGACCCACGGGGACCGGTGCCGAATGAGGTGCAAGGAATAAGGGAGAAAGAGGCACCAAAAGCCAAGCCCTGCGCTCAGTCTGGAAAATTGGGTGCTGCTCCGGCTTCCACTGCCTGGTGTGCGATGGGTGCAGCAGCCTTCTGGACGCGCTGCCTGGCTCCAGTTCTCCAACCTACATTCTACTGTGCAGGCTACTGATAGCCTTATCTTTACCCAAAGTGCAAACACTGTCAGGGAAGAGGAAATTCTCTGCTAAGGTAAACGAAGAGTCAGCTAGGAATATTTACAAAACGCCCCATTATAATTTTTGTTTTTAATAGAAACCTAAGTTACCAGGAGGCATATGTTGCATGCCGGGCACAGAGCTGGGAATTAGACACGGTGGCTGAAGACATGGACAAAGATACAGCAAAATACGTGTCTCAAAAACATCCACTCCATCCACAGCCTGCAGCTCGAGACAGCCATGGTCGCCTACTTATGACTGGAAGGGGAAAATCATTCTCTCTGCCCCGAATATCCCTCGTCAATGCCTGAAATCCACCATTCGAGACTCCATAGAACCTCCAGATAGGATGTCTTGGGGCTCCTACAGCCAAACATTCCAGTATTCCACATGAGGAAGCCGGGCCCAGAGAGCTTAAGTTACTTGTCCAGCATCACCCAGCTTGTTGCTGGGCCCAGATCCAGAGTCTCTGAATTCCCATGATATTCCCTCCTTAGAATCTTCTTTAGTAATCAAAATACTAGAGGGAAAGGGAGTGACACTTTCATGTTCCTGGGACCTAGGAGGGAGTTCCTGAGAGGCTTCCTCTGTCCCCAGAAGAAGAATCACACAGGAGGCTTTGCTTAAGAGGCCACTGACATTTCACTATAAGAATTCCTTTCTTCACAGCAGGCAGCTGGGATAGTGCTTCCTGGTTTTGCTCCAGGTCACAAAGGGGCATTGTCCTCAGGGACACCACCTATGCCCCTGCTCACCTATCTGGGGAGCAGCCTACAGGCCTCTGTTGAGTGTGCAGGACCAGCCCCTGCCCTTGCCCAGAGAAGAGGGCCCCCACATCACTGAGTTGGAAATCTCTAGCCGGGGATCTGTCTAGTCCAGCTTCCCGCCTTCAGACAGGGATTTATTATCCCTGAGTTTACAGAGAAGGGCCTGAATCCCAGAGAGGTTAACTGACTTGCCCAAGGTCATACAGCTAGTAATTAGAACAGTCACTTAAGGCTATTACCTACTTAGAATCCTCGTGGCATAGACTGTGGGCGCTGAGAGTGATCTTATAAATACAGTGACCGTATTTTCAGAACCCAAAACTAGGACATTGAGCCTGACAAAGCCAAGTGCATTTACAGGGACAGGGAACAGATTATTTGAATTGGTACTGCCCCAGAAAAGGGACCTGCGTGTGCGGGGCCATCCAGTCCCAGCCCCTCTGTTCATAGTTGAGGCAGCTGAAGGCCGGAGAGGCTAAATGGCTTGCCAGAGGTCGTAGGCAGAAATGTTTTGTTTTCTCAAACTCTGAAGGTTGAGTCAACAGGGTGTGGGTGGGGGAGGACAAGAAGGGCCCATTGTTCCAGGCCGCCTTCCCTAGGGACGGCCTGGCCCCACAGCGCCTGTTCCCATCCAGAATGGGTGCAGCTGCCGCCAGACGCCAGAGCAAGAACGCCTGAAGCCAGACAAAGCTCAGGCTCTTCAGCTCTCACAGACCTGGGCAGCCGGACAAAAAGGAATTCAGAGGACCACAGGTACCTTACTTCAGAAGCCCAGCACTCTGGAAAGTAGATATTGTCTTCTAAGGTTTTCTTTTTTTCCCCAGAGACAGGACGTTAACATGACAAGATATAAGCTAATGACCCCTCTGGCATTTAAATTCTGGTATAAATCAGGGCAACAAGTCACACTGACAGGTGTTGGAGAAGGGTCTACATAAGCCCTGCAATGAGCTAGGCACCGTAAGTATTTATTATTAAATCTTCAACTTGCACCTCACCCCTGCTGCATGTGCTGTTTGACCTCATTTTATAATTAGTAAGAGAGAGGAAGACAGAGTGAAGAATCAGCTCAAGGGCTCAGGGCAAGCCCATTTCCAGCAGCTCCTTTGTCCTGCAGGCCCCAGTCTCTCCGTCAGCACTCCTTCCCGTACTAAAAAGTGCGTTTCACCGCGTCCCTCCAACACTGCAGCTACTCAAATTAGGACTCCCAGCAGCAGATGGAATTCTTCCAACTGTCAGCCTACCCTCTCCTCTATGCAAATGCAGAACTACTCTGCAGATAGAGAAATTGCTTCCCGGAAAACCAATTTCCTCCTTATTGTACTGCAGGCCGCTGCTGTGAGGGGCGGCTCCCGGCCTGCTCACTCCGCAGAGACAGCGACATTGCAGAGAACAAGTTGCTGAGCCCGAGAGGTAGAGAGGGGTGTGAATGGGAGCTGTGTTTCTGAGTCCCAGTGTAGACATTGTTTTTCTGATGCTTATTTTCCCTTGGTCTAGTTACTTTCCACCCTCCAAAGGCCTGAAACTAGTGCTCTCAAAGCCTCACTGCCTATGGCACACCCACTGTTATCAAGATTTGACAATTGTTTCATTCAATCCTTCCTTCATTCATGTCCTCTAAATTTGTTTCCAGAGAACTGCAACCTGCCTTTCAAGCTCACTGTCTGTTCCACTGGCAAAGAGTCTAGATGGTTGGCAAATGGCCGGACTCTACAGTGTGCTCCCAACTCTTGTCCCAATTAGAGCACTTTTCTGTGTCCACCGTCCACCCAGCCTTCAATCCTGCCTTGGATGAGAGCAAGTGACAGTGAACTTGAGAAGAGATAATAAACACCTGATCTCCCTGATAGCATCTTCTTTAATTATTTAAAGAAAGGGGTGGCTTCTTTAAAACCGCTTCCGTTCCAGTTCTTTTGTTAAAACTCTCGTAAAGTCAGTGACAGGTTGTGGAGCTGGGAGTAGGAAGGGGCTGGCGTTGTTAAGAGGGGACAGCGAGAAGATGCTTTTAGACGGAAAAGGAAGGGTGATGCAAACGACCCTTTAATTAGAAGAAAGCTATGCACACATTTTCTTTTTCAACCAAAGATGTCAGAAAAGACACCTTATATATTAAAGAGCAGATTTGAGAAGGGCAAAAGAACAGACAAGTGTAACTTCGATGGGAAAGTGCTGCTGCCTGTGAATACAGTGCACTGAGCATGAGGTTTGGAGTCAGGTCTAAGGAGCGGCTCTGCCACTTCCTGGTTGGGTGACCTCAGACAAGCTATTTAACTTACCTAACCTTCAGTTTCCTCATCTGTAAAACAGACATAATCATAGCCACCTTATAAAGTTGACTTGAGGATGAAATGAGAGGGAGAAAGCATGCAAGAGCTTAGCGAGACCCTAGTACATGGTAGACACACAATGCATGGTTTTTTTGAAAATGAATACTGCACTGAATGAACTGAGAAGAAAGAAAGTCAAGGGAGTGACTACCTGGACTGTTCTGAGGTTGTTTCTGGTGGATTTATTTCCCTGCTGGACTTTATACCATGGAATATACATTTGAATTCCTCATACAGATTTAATGAATATGTACTTAATTAAGATTAGACACTATATTCAGTGGAACCTCTGAGTCTTTTTGTTTTGTTTTGTTTGTCTTGAGACAGAGTCTTGCTCTGTCACCTAGGCTGGAGTACAGTGGGGTGATCACAGTTTACAGCAGCCTTGGACTCCTAGGCTCAAGTGATCCTCCTGCCTCAGCCTCCTGAGTAGCTGGGATGACAGGTACGTGCCACCTTGTCCAGCCCTCTGGGTCTTTTAATTAGAGATCATAAAAGGAAAATCAAATGGAAGCTGGACCCTACGAGGGAGACATAAAAGGTGCAGGCAGAACTCACAAACTCTCTTAGTAACTGTGGGGAGTTTGGGAATCAGTTATGATCCTTTTCTAGAAGAGGAGGTACTGAGCAAAGGGAATGGAGGAGAGAGTTGATGGAGATGAGTCTGTCTTATTTCATTCATGTCGCTGTAACAAATCCCGAGACTGGGTAAGTTATAAATGACAGAAACTTATTTTTCACAGTCCTGGAGGTTGGGAAGTCCAAGAACAAGGCACTGGCAGGTTCGGTGACTGGTGAGGGCTTGGTTTCTACTACCAAGATGGTGTCTTACTGCCGAGTCCCCTGGAGAGTCCTCAGGTGGTGGAGGCAGAAATGCAGAAAGGACGGCTCCCTCTGCGTTTTCCTAAGGGACTAATCCAATCCATGAGCTCAGAGCCCTTGTGGCCTAATCACCTCCTAAGGGCCCCACCTCTCAATATGGTTGCATTAGAGATTAAGTTTCAACAGGAATTTGGGAGGGGACACAAACATTCAAACCATAGCAGGGTCCAGACTGAGAAATCAGTAATAGAAGAACAAGGAGAAGGTAGGAGGAGAAACATGCTGCCAGCCTATCCAACAGCCTGCTGGGGTGAGTGTCCACTCTCGTCTCTTTCCTGGCCCTTGTGGCTGTATTAGCAATATTCATGTAGTACCTGCCTGGCTAAGAGAAGATATTGTGGAAGACAACAGGGTGATTCATTTTACTTAATAACACTGTACAGAGCTTACTGTGTGCTAGGCACCTTTCTAAGAACCTCATAAATATTAACTTGGTTAATCTTCAAAACAACCCAATGAGATAGGTATTTTATTATCCCTATTTTACAGATGAGGAAACCAAAGCATGATCATAACAGCTACTTTTTATTAAGTATCTACGGTGTGGGAATAGTTTTGATGTTTTTTAAATGTAGTCCTCAGAAATCTATAAAATAAGGTTATTATTCGTCCTTTACAGAAGAAGAAATTGAAGTTCATTGAGCTTGGGTTGCAGCGCGGGCACTAGCGGTCTCCCCGCGCCGCGCTCCTGGATCTCCAAGGCAGGCCCGCTCCCCTCAGGAAGCTCGGACGGGACAGGAGATAACCACGCCTTGCGAGATAGACAGAAGTGCCACAAAAGTGAAACAAGAATTTCCTAAGTCTCATCTTTCCTCCCCTCTCCGATCACCACCACCATAAAGGACTGAAGCTCCCCATCGTGCTGTGGCTGGGATGGAAATAATCAGACTTACGGAAAAACTTACAGAGAAATTAAAGTGAGGTCTCCCACTCCCCAAAAGTGCCCACAGTCCTGGAGGTTTAATGACAGACTCTGACGGTCCATTCCACTGCTGCCACCTTCTTAGCCGCTGGCCTGGCTCCCCCACCGCCCCCCTTTCTCTGCCCTTGTGATTGAAAAGTCATCACCTCTGGGAAGGGAAGGAAGAGGGAGGGTGGCTGGGTCAGTGGGGAGCTGGGGGCCCCAGGGTGGAGCTCCGAGGCCTCCCCCTGGGGACTCTGACCCGGCTCTGACGGGGAAGACAGCAGCGTGGCTTCCAGAGCAGGCGCTGGGGACTCTCGCTGGTAAGGCCCAGAGCTCCAGGCCGCCGGGCAGAGGGGATGTTGGAGGCGCTCCCTCTCCCCACTCCTCCCTCTGCACAGTGGCCGGGAGCCCAGGTGTTCGGCCTGTGCTGCTTGGAGGTCTTGCCCTCTGTCCGTGCTTCCTGAATGGACTCATCTTCCTGGGGCAGGACGTGGCATCCTCGAGCCGTCCTTCCTGAGGGGACTGAGGTAAAGCTGGCTGAGCAGGTTGGTGCTGGGTGGAGCTCTGCAGCCTGCCCTGCCCCAGAGCGGTTGTCACCTGGAGCCGCCAGCAGCCAGCGCCAGTGAGAGCACAGCTGCAAGTCACAGCTGGTCTGCAGCTCACACGCTCTCCGCCCGCAGGGGCTGAGGAGAGCCCAGACCCTTGAGTTATACTGGGCAGGGCTGGGAGAGAGAGCCTCTTAGCTGATGCTTGCGGAGGATAAATTCGGATCCTGGAGGAAAAGGCAGCACACGGCAGCAGGTGGGGAGAAAGCAGGGAGAGGCCAGTCTGGGACAATTGCCTGGAGTAAACACTTGTCTGCCAGGAGCTTCTGTGTGCCAGCCTGGGCATGCTGAGCGGTCTGGGTTTAAAGGCCAGTCATGGGGTAACAGAGGCAGGCCGAGATCAGCACTGCAGGAACAGATCATGGCAGTGAACCTGAGGTCAACACAGGACCTGAAGATGAGGGCAGGATCTTGTGGGACCAGGAACAAGAGAGGGGATGGGAAGTACATCCCAAGGTAGGGAAAGATCCAGGAGGAAGGCTGGAACAAGGCTAGGTGACAGTCCATTCTTAACAAAGCCTGAGTGCCTGGGGTCATCTCGGATGGTTCAGTTGATAGAACCAGACCTGACCAGAAACCTCGGATCTTCAACCACGCCGGCTGCCCCCTCAGTCCCTGGAGTGCACGTGCTCCTGCAGCCGCCCTGCCCGTCTGTCCCACCGCCCTCCAGCATTCCCGCCGCCCGAGCGCCGTTCTTCCCTAGCACAGGAGACATGCATCCTTCTAGTATTTTCATTGCTCTGAAACCCAAACTGTGAAGATTGAAAGGTCTAACCAGATTAAAATCCACATTTTACCCTCATTTTACCCACTATGATGTAATCCACCTCCTGTTTCCTGAAGGATATTTACAAACTCTGTCTCTTCTCTTCCTTTGGACACTGAGTGTTGGGAAACTGTTAGCTGGATGAGAGGCCCGTTGAGAAGGGTACCATGGTGGCCCAGGAACAGCCAACAGCCTGCAGGAAATGCACCATCCAGGGCAGAGCAGGACCCACTGACTGGGGTCCTGGGAAACTGTCCCCAACCCACTCAGGCCCCACGGCCCCTGTGAGATTTTTAAATTTGGGAATAATAAGCACAGATCTCCTCTAGAAAAGTCCTTTCTTGACCAAAGCCAGAGTTAGGTGAGAACCCAGCTGGAGGAGGAGGGGACAGTTGGCTCTGAGGCACTGGCCGTACCAGACTGGAACTGTCACTACAACACGCCTCTTGGGGAGCACCAAGGCCATCCACTTTTAGTTCTTACAGAAAGAAGTGGGGGAGGAGGAAGGGAGAGAAGGAAAGAAGGAAGGAAGGAAGGAAGGAAGGAAGGAAGGAAGGAAGGAAGGAA